CCTCTTCTGTGGGATCTTCCCCTCTTCTGTGGGATCTTCCCCTCTTCTGTGGGATCTTCTCCTCTTCTGTGGGATCTTCTCCTCTTCTGTGGGATCTTCCCCTCTTCTGTGGGATCTTCCCCTCTTCTGTGGGATCTTCTCCTCTTCTGTGGGATCTTCTCCTTCTGTGGAATCTTCCCCTCTTCTGTGGGATCTTCTTCTCTTCTGTGGGATCTTCCCCTCTTCTGTGGGATCTTCCCCTCTTCTGTGGCATCTTCTCCTCTTCTGTGGCATCTTCTCCTCTTCTGTGGGATCTTCTCCTCTTCTGTAGGATCTTCTCCTCTTCTGTAGGATCTTCTCCTCTTCTGTGGGATCTTCCCCTCTTCTGTGGGATCTTCTCCTCTTCTGTGGGATCTTCTCCTCTTCTGTAGGATCTTCTCCTCTTCTGTGGGATCTTCCCCTCTTCTGTGGGATCTCCCCCTCTTCTGTGGGATCTCCCCCTCTTCTGTGGGATCTCCCCCTCTTCTGTGGGATCTTCTCCTCTTCTGTGGGATCTTCTCCTCTTCTGTGGGATCTTTAGCTCACATCCCACCTTTTCCTGGATGCTGGAAGTTTCCCACGAGTACCCCCCCATGTAGCACCGACCCCCCAGGAGGGTAATGGCCATCTTCTAATGTTATCCTTCTCTGTTACAGGAAGTCGTCTCTTCTCCAAAGTTCCGGCAGCTCGGGCAAAATCTTCTATGACCCGGACCCCGGTGATGACCTGGATGAGGAAGATCCAGATGATGACTTGGATGTGTAATGATCGGTGTATACGGTGTAAATAAATTGGTTGTGATTTGGCAGACTTGCTCCGGATCTCATGGTTAAGATTGTAAAGGCGATGCGCCTGTTAGTTCGGGGAAGTCTCTCTTCTGGTGTTGGACAGAAATGTTTCCTCAGGTGTAGGGGGACAGGTACCACCTTAAGTGTAGGGGGTGATAAATCTCCTCGGGTGTCCCCTAAGGTGTAGGAAGGACAGATAACTCCTCAGGCCTAGGGGAGGCAGATATCTCCTCCAGTGTGCTGGGACTGGTAACTCCTCAGGGTGACAGATATCTACTCGGGTATAAAGGGGCAAATAACTTCTTGGGTGTATGAGGACAGGTAGCTTCTCAAGTGTGGGGAGATAGGTATCCCCTCAGGTATAAGGGCCGGTACCCTTTGGGTGTAGGGAGACAGTTATGTCATTGGGTGTAGGAGGACAAGTATATCTTCAGGTGTTGGGGGGCAGTTATCTCCTTTGGTGTAAGGGGTCAAGTATCTCAGGTGTAGGGGGGGCAGGTTTCTCCTTGTTTGTTGGGCAACAGTTATTTACTTAGGTGCGGGAGGGACAGTTATCTCCTTTGATGTTAGGTATCTCGGTGAACGGTCGTCTCCTTGGGTGTAGAGTGAACGGTCATCTCCTTGGGTGTAGAGTGAACGGTCATCTCCTTGGGTGTAGAGTGAACGGCCGTCTCCTTGGGTGTAGAGTGAACGGTCATCTCCTTGGGTGTAGAGTGAACGGTCATCTCCTTGGGTGTAGAGTGAACGGTCATCTCCTTGGGTGTAGAGTGAACGGTCATCTCCTTGGGTGTAGAGTGAACGGTCATCTCCTTGGGTGTAGAGTGAACGGTCATCTCCTTGGGTGTAGAGTGAACGGTCATCTCCTTGGGTGTAGAGTGAACGGTCATCTCCTTGGGTGTAGAGTGAACGGTCATCTCCTTGGGTGTAGAGTGAACGGTCATCTCCTTGGGTGTAGAGTGAAC